TAAGTTCAAAACACTTGCTCACACAATCAGCACCTCGGTGCTCAAGCCATAGGCAAAGATCCGGCCTCAAGTCCTCCAGACTGGCCCAACATCAACTCATAGAGATCATATCTCACCCCTCTATCGGGGAATCACAAGTCGTTGATGCACATCTGATACTAAGCGCTCATGCGCGCATTCGAACACGTGGAAGGAATTTCAAGAGTTACTTTTCAAGTTGAATCAAGGACGCACGATAAGAATTCAAGAATGTGAAGTTTTTCCTAAAGGTTCTGCAGCCTCTCAAGGATAAATACAGACGTCTCCATACCGATCCGCGAGACTCTACTAAACCTGCTCATAACTCGTGAGACCTATGTAACCTAGGCTCTGATACCAACTTGTCACGACCCAATTCCCAAACCCGGTCGTGATGGCGCCTCTCGTGAAAACAAGGCCAGCCAGACCAAACAAAAGGGAACACCTCTTTAAGCAGTTAATTATCATAAACAGTAATAATACATGATATAATATCCATAAAATTTGGAATTTAATAATAACAATAGTGGAAACCATCCCGACACAGCCCAAACCGGGGTGTCACAAGTCACAAACATCTATTAAGGTGTAAATACAACTACGAGGTCTAGATTATACAAGCAGAAATAATGAACAAAAGGGAGAAAAACGGTGCTGCGAACGCCGGCAGTCACCTCGCTAAACTCCGATAACTCTGCCTCTGATCAACCAAAACCCGTTACCGGGTGTATAAATACCTGCATCTGCACACAAGGTGCAGGGAGTAATGTGAGTACTCCGACTCAGTGAGTAATAAAGGTAAATAACAACTGAGCAGTAAGAAATCACATAAGGCAACCAGCATGTTGTAGCGAAGTAGTGAAAAACCCCTTGAGAAAAATAGTGAAGCTGTGAAATCTTTAGAAATATCTTAGCTCAGTTTAAACCTCTTTTGAAAATAACTTTCTCAACAGTTACGCAATTGAATGCAAAATAAATAGTGCAGATAAGCACGGAAATTTGCCCCTCGGGCACAACACTCAATTAACAGATAATGCCAGGCAATCAGATAGATATCACATGAAGTAGCACAACAACAAATAATGGCAGACAAATGAAATAAAGTAAACACATAGAACAGTACCAGCACCACTGCAGCATGCAACCCGATCCATATATCGCTGCGGCGTGCAGCCCGATCCATTTATCGTCGACGGCGCTCACTGGGGTGTGCAGACTTCGGGAGGGGCCCCTTACGGCCCAAGAGCAATATTAAGCCATCTCGTGGCATCAAATCTAGGCCCTCAGCCTCATATAAATCAGTTTCTCACTGTTGCGGCGTGCAACCCGATCCAAGAGTATCCTCACAATACAGGCCCTCGGCCTTACTTAGTCAAAATTCACATAAGCCCATCGAGCAACAGTAAAACATGATGCTCAGCACAAAATATTATTTAAAATACCATTTCAAGTGTTAGAGCAGAGTAAACATGGCTGAGTTTTGAAAACAGTAGAAAATAACATGACTGAGTTCAACTATATAATCAAACAGTGAGGAAATATCAAACAACAATCGCCGAATGGTTCAAATAGCTAGCACTAGGCCCAAAGATGGCATTCAGCCCAAATAATGATGATAACAATTAGTTTTCAGTTAAATACGCGGTAAAATCATCAATCAGGACGGACCAAGTCACAATCCTCAATAGTAAAAGACCCCACGCTTGTCATCCAGCGCGTGTCTCACCTCAATACAGCACTACGATGTGCAAATCCGGAGTTTCAAACCCTAAAGATATCATTTACAATCATTACTCACCTCGAACCGGCGAAATCTCTAGCTCGCGACGCCTTTGCCCCTCAAATTGGCCTCCACATGTGTCGATCTATCCAAAATCAGAACGAATACGTCACAATATACTAAGGGAACAAAGCCCAAGCGAAAACAATCAATAAAGGGCACGATTCCCGAAATTACCAAAACCCGAGCCCCAGGACCATGTCTCGAAATTTGACGAAATTCACAAAACTAAAATCCTTATATTCTCACGAGTCTAACCATACGAAAATTATCCAATTCTGATACCATTTGGCCCTTCAAATTATCATTTTACCTTTTTGAAAGGTTTCACAATTTTCTTCCCAAATTCCATTCTAAATCACGAATTAAATGATGAATTCAATGATAGATTCATGTATTCTATCCAAATCTGAGTTAGAATCACTTACCCCGATGAATTTCTTGAAAAATCTTCAAAAAATCGGCAAAATCCGAGCTCTTTAGGTCAAAATATCAAATAAAATCCAAAACCTCGTATTTATAGAGTACCCTCCAGGTTTCAGACACCACGGGCCGCATCAAATCGACCGCCGTCCGCGCTAGCCAGTGCGATCCGCGCAAAAACAACCGCGGCCGCACAGGCCTTCTTTTGCAGTGACAGGCTTTAGTATTTTGACCATAACTTTTGCTACAAGTGTCTAAATTACAATATCCGTATCTTTCTAGAAACTAGATACGAAGGTCTACAACTTTAGTTTTTGAATCATCTCAAAATTCCCTGTAGATCAAAATATATGAGCTTCCGAAGTAGGACCAGCGGAACGTTTCATCACCGCGGCCGCGCCCACTTTTGTACGGTCCGCGCGACGCCTACCGCGGCCGCGCCCATTTTGGTGCGGTCCGCACTGCACTCACCGCGGGCACACTTATTTTTGTGCGGACTGCATGAGTGAGTTTCGGGGCCTGCAACCCCTGTGGACCTGCTACGGCTATGATTTTCGCACAAAAACATCCCGGAACCTACCCGGAACTCCCGGAACTTCAAACCAATTGTACCAACACATCCCATGTCATCGTTCATACTTGCTCAAAACTTCAGAATGCTCACAACAACATCAAATCACCAATTTAACATAGGATCCAAGCCTAAGAACTCCAAGAACTCTTAAATTATGCTTTCGATCAAAAAGTCTATCAAACCTCGTCCGAATGACCGGAAATTTTGCACACACATCCCAAATGACACAACGAAGCCAATGTAACTCTCGGAATTTCATTCCGACCTTTATATCAAAATCTCACCTATCAACCGGAAAGTGCCAAAATCTCAATTTTGCCAATCCAAGCCTAAACCTTCCACGGACTTCTAAAATGCATTCTGATCACGCTCTTAAGTCCCAAATCACCTAACGGGGCTAACCCAACCATAAAAATTTCAATCCGAGATCACATACAGACAAGTCAAATCTTGGTTAAACCTTTCAAATTTTGAGCTTTCAACTGAGACTGTTCTTTCAAATTCATTCTGATTAACCTGAAACCTAACACCAACGATTTACATAAGTCATGATACACCACACGGGGCAAGTCATGCCTGAGAATTGGCGAGCAAAGTGCAAAAAGCTCAAAACGATCGGTCGGGTTGTTACAGGTCATGCACCTCTTGCAGTATTGAAAAAATCCCTGATCAAAATAAACAGTTGTCATGTATTTCTACTTGTCACTGCCCTGTATGTCCACTAGCTAAACAAATTAGGCTACCTTTCCATGTTAGTACTTCCAAGTCTAATTATGTCTTTCAACTTGTACATATGGATGTGTGAGGTCCATATAGAGTCTGTACTTACAATGGATTCAAGTATTTTCTTACTCTTGCTGATGATTATTCAAGAATGACTTCGACTTTTCTTTTGAGGTTAAAAAGTGAATTGTATGTCATTTTAACTGAATTTTTACATCTTGTTGAAAATTAGTTATCAACTATTGTTAAAGCTTTTAGATCAGATAATGGCCATGAATTCTTTAATACCATCTGCTCTAATCTTTTCAAAACCAACGGGATCATTCACCAAAGTAGTTGTGTTCACACTCCATAGCAAAATGATATTGTGGAGAGGAAGCACAGACATATCGTAGAAGTAGGAAGGGCCTTGAGGTTTCAGGCTAACATACCCTTAAAGTTCTGGAGGGATTGCATTCTTACTGCTACTTATATCATTAATAGACTACCAAGTGTTATTCTATATGGGAAGTTACCTTATGAGATTTTTCATGGCAAACCTCCTATTTTTTTCCATATCAGAACTTTAGGATGCCTCTGCTATGCCACAAAACCAGATTTTCATGATATTTTTACCCTTAAATCTGTCCCTGGTGTCTTTATGGGCTATGCTACCGCTCAAAAGGGATATAGAATATATGACATTGAAGCCAACAAATTCATAGTTAGCAAGGATGTTGTCTTTCATGAAAATCTATATTCCTTTCAAACATCCCAGGAGAAAATTTCTTGCTACTTCTGATCCATCTTCTACTTCCTCTCCTCTCGTTCCCAATTTTGATCCTATGCTACCTTACACACCTGACCCCAATTTCATTTCCAATGACATCATTTCCCTTCCTAATGATCCTGCTCAGTCCAGTAGTTCACCTATTACTTTTCCTGATCCTGATACTTCTCTTCCCTCTGATGTTTCACCTGATCCTTCTGATCCTCCTCTTAATCCTCCTACTGATTTTGTGTTGCCCAGAAAATCTGGTAGAACACTTAAACTATCTATTTGGCTGACTGATTACATTCACCCTCCTTTTCCTTCAGCCTCTACTGTATGCCTTTACCCTATTCATCATTTTGCTTCTTGCTCTCATCTCCTTGCTCATTTCCAGTCTTTTCTTGCTTCTTTCTTAGTTGATATTGAACCTACCTCTTACTCACAAGTTATTAAATATGATAGGTGGATTAAGGCTATGAACCTGAGATTGAAGCCTTAGAACAAAATCATACTTGGGATGTGGTTGACTTACCACTTGGTAAGGTCCCCATAGGTTGCAAATGGGTCTACAAAATCAAGTATAATGTTGATGGTTCTGTAGAGAGAATTAAAGTTAGATTGGTTGCTAAAGGTTAACACCCAACAAGAAGGAATTGACTTTCATGATACTTTTTCCCATGTGGCCAAGATGACCACAGTAAGGACTGCATACTTTTTCCCATGTGGCCAAGATGACCACAGTAAGGACTGCTATAGCTATTGTTGCCCTTAGACATTGGTCTGTGTACCAAATGGGTGTACATAATGCTTTTCCCAATGGTGATCTTGCTGAGGAAGTTTATATGACTCTTCCTCAGGGATTTGGTAGTCAGGGGGAGTAAAAGGTGTGTAGACTACTCAAATGCTTATATGGCTTAAAACAAGAAACTAAACAATGGAATGTGAAGCTGACACATGCCTTGTTATCCTCTGGTTTTCAGCAGAGCAGACATGATTATTCCTTGTTCACTAAGACCACTAATAATAAGGTTGTACTTATTCTTGTCTATGTAGATGACTTTCTTGTCATAGGTAATGACTTGGAAGAAATACACTAAGCTAAAAGTGCCCTCCATAAAAGCTTCAAATTGAAAGACTTTGGAGAGCTTAGATACTTTTTGGAAATGGAGTTTACCAGGTCTGAAGAAGGCATTCTAATGTGTCAAAGGAAATATACTCTAGAGATGATATCAGAAGCAGGATTGTTAGGAGCAAAGCCTAAATACACACCTATGGAACAAAACCTGAAGCTAACAAGCACAGAATATGATGAATGTGTGCAGAGAACTGATGCAGATGAGCCATTGAAGGACAGAAACAGCTTCCAGAGACTCATTGGCAAGTTATTATACTTGACCATCACTAGGCCAGACATTGCATATGCAGTATAATGCCTAAGCCAATTCATGCATGCACCAAAGGCATCTCACTATGAAGCTGCTCTACACATAGTGAAGTACATTAAGAAACAACCAGGTCTTGGGCTACTAATGTCAAGCAGAGGTGAAGAAAAGGTAAAGGCATTCTATGACTCTGATTGGGCCTCTTGCCCTATATCCAGGAAGTCAATTACATGTTTTTGTGTGAAGCTGGGAACCTCACTAATCTCATGGAAGGCAAAGAAGCAAAGCACCATATCCAAGAGTTCAGTTGAAGTAGAGTATAGAAGCATGGCTCACATTGTAGCTGAGCTAACATGGCTGAATGGGCTGATGAAAGAACTAGGAGTTAGTGTCAAGCTGCATATGGATTTATATTGTGACAACAAAGCTGCTCTATAGATTGTTGCAAACCTCATATATCATGAGAGAACAAAACGCATTGACATTGACCGTTATTTTATTAGAGAGAAGATACAAGAATGGTTGATAAGGACTGCACATATAGCTACTCAAGAACAACCAGCTGATATTTTGACAAAGGCATTGGGGCATTGTCAACATGCACTTTTAGTTTCCAAGTTGGGAATGAAAAATATTTTCCATTCTCAACTTGAGGAGGAGTGTAGAGATAAGTAGTGTTTGTATAGTGAGCTATTTAAAGTGTACACTTCTAGAAGTAGTTAGAGTAGTTAATTAGCACATGTGTATCGGGGTTGTTAGTTAGTTGAGTGCATTAGTATATGCACAATCACTGTTCATACGCTTAATACACTAAATAAGAGTTTTATAATTTTTCTCTCTCTAGAATCTTCTTCTTCTTCACTAACAGCTCAGAGCTCTCTAATGGCTACCTTAGGGCTAGGTTTGACAACCTCGCTCCAAAATTCGATAACTGGCTCCAACACCTCTCTAACACCTCAAATCAATGTCCAACAATCCGAAACTATTCAAAGAACGTGCAAACCAATCAAAATATACTCAAAGACCCGTAATTTAATAATTAGAAATAATTTCCAACTCCACGCAAAAAGTCAACAAAGTCAAGCCCCGGGTCCATTCTCCTGGATTCTAAAAATTTTCAAAGATACATATTATCCATAGTACTACGAACTCAAATATATAATTTATTTCAAATTTCATGCTCATTTTCGTTGTCAAATTCAAAATTACTACTTCTAGATTTTCTCCCAAAATCTTATAATTTCTATCAATTTTCATGTTAAAATTTATATATAATCCATGTATTAAAGTCACGATGAGTAGGAATCACTTACCTTGTGATAGATGATGGAAATGCCCCTCCAAATTCGCCCCAAAATCGGCACCAATGATGAGAATAAAAACAAAAAAAGCTAAGTCCCGATTTGCAATCTTATACACTGCCGAGACATTCTTCTTCGCGTTCGCGGCAACACCCTCGCGATCGCATAGGCCAGACCAGCCTTACCCAAAAATCCCTCTTCGCGGACGCGAGGTCTCACCCGTGATCGCAAAGCTCAGCCTACCATGCCTACGCGAACGCAAGCCCTGTTCCGCAAACGGGAAGGCCAAAACCTTCGAGCCTCAGGAAAATTCCTTCTGTGATTGCAAACTCTCTAATGCGATCGCAATGAGAAACCCTTCAAACCAGGCAACCCCGATAACACATTGCGTTCCCAACCCTTACCATGCGAACGCGAAGAACAAACATACTACTATAACACGATTGTGATGACTTCCCGCGATCGCGAAGAACAAAGTCTTCTCCAGCTCCCCTCAAACATCTAAATGCCAAGTTCATAAGTTGTGACGTTCTAATATACTTATTTTCGATCACAATAACTCGAATTCCTCAAACTAATAAAGGATGAAATTCTAAAAGGTTTGTCACCTAGTTCTGGTGAAGGCTTAGCTGACTTCCTGAGTCCAAACATGCCATACCACGAGCTGTGGCATCATTGCATGTGAAAAAGTTTTATTCGTTACATAAAGTTCATATCTAGCTAATTAAAAAAATCGATCCAAATTGCTAGTTTTTTATGTTCCCTTCAACTTTTGGAAAAAACTATACTATTTATGTTTGTGGATGAGATACAATTATCTAGTAGATGAAGTCCACTTGTTTTGATTGGCTCACTTAACTTATCATACCAAACAAAGTGGATATGTGACCGTACAAATTTGATTGGATAAAGCAATGCCAATTGAATAATTGGGAGCCTTTTATTTTCCTTTATTGGTTGTGATAGCCATGAATTTTGTTTTTCTTTAAGTAATTAGGTATCGGAAAATTACAGTTTTGATTAACCCGAATCACGTCAGTTAAATATTAGAGGTAAAATATTATTTACAATACTCAAACTCAAAACATTTAATTTAATTTAATTAAAAAGAATTTCAATGATTTCATTACCGACATCACAATGTTAGTTTCATTAAACATTGAAAACTACAGTATATCCAATTATCCAAATTTTTGGTCCAATATTTGACACGTTAACACAAATATAGGTTCTTTGACGTCCAAGGAATCAGTGAATATATGTATCGTTCTGACAGGTCAAAAAACAAGTACCTTAAGATTAGGCCACCTGTTCAAATATGTGTCCCATTTTCAAACGTTTTCTTGTTCCTTCATTCATACCCTTTACTTTCCACCATTGAAGAAAAGCTAAGAACCCTTTTTAACATTCCCAATTTCCAATCTCAGTTCCAAATTTTAAACTTCCAAAAAAAAAAAAAAATCAATACATCAAGAATTTTATGGTAAAATCCATGGCAAAAGTTTTAATCCCATCACCTTTGAATTATAGGGCTTTTTCCAAGAAATCAAAAGGTATAAATCCCAATTCCTTTGGGATTTCTTTATCAGCAAATAACAATTTTTTTGGTCGTAATATTTCCCTAAGAGGACCCTTAAGCATGCGCAAATTCAATATAAGAAATCCCAGATCAGCAGCTGCCACTGCCCAGGTTTGTTTTGTTGTTTTCTGGTTTTATTTTTCTTATATTCTTAGAATTTTCTGATCAACCTATACGTGGTTAAATCCTTTATTTTAATTAGAAAAGTTTTTCTAATTTGAATTCAATTTGGGTTGTGGCTATTTTTGGAATTATCAGTCAATAATTATGCAAATTTTTCTTCTTTTTGCCATGATTTTGTATTATAGAATCTATTTTGGAGCAGAGTGTTTCGGGTCAAATTTAGGGCATGATTGATTAAGATTATTTCACTCGATTTAAACTATTAATCAGGAACAGTGGTGACTGTAGAAAAATTCAGTTCTATAGATATAATAATAGGCAATTGATTAGATGAAACTAATTCCTTTTAATCCCTTATCTAAAATTACCAGAAACAACTTTAGTAATCCAAATGAAAGAGGATCTTATTAATATTGAAGAACGTGGCATGAATGGCCATTTTGGGCGAGAGAACAATAAAAAAAAGGCCCCGCTATGTGCAGTCCAGGGAAGGGTCGGACTACCAGGGTGTATTGTATGCGGCCTTACCTGCATTTCTGCAACAGAGTGTTTCCATGGCTCGAACCCGTGACCTTCAGAGAGAACAATGCATTTCACTTTTTTTTTAAAACCATTTTGTTACTAATTTTGGTAACTAATTAAGTTGCTATTTGCATAAGTTGGATCACCATTACAGTATGTAATTTTTCTATGATCCTTTCTTGTTAACTTTGGCAGCCTTCATTTATAGAATATAATAAATTCAACTTTTTTCATCTCGTGCTACATTTGCATAAAACAGATGAGCATTGGAATCAGGAAAGCTCCAAAATGGTGGGAGAAAGGTCTTCAGCCTAACATGAAAGAAGTGACTGGTGCCCAAGACCTTGTTGACTCCCTCGTAAATGCCGGCGACAAACTAGTGATTGTTGATTTCTTTTCCCCGGGCTGTGGAGGCTGCAAAGCCCTTCATCCAAAGGTAATATATTCTTGTTGTCTAAACTGTTTGTTATATGTATTTGTGCGTGTGTCTAAAAGACAATCGAAAATCCATAAGTTACTCTTTTTTGGTTTGAAATAATGCTGCACTTTGTTGGCAGTCTATTTCAGTAAGATAGGATTAATGACTTCCACCTTGGTAAAATTGGAAAATGCAGATATGTCAGTTAGCAGAGATGAATCCGGATGTGCAGTTTTTGCAAGTGAACTATGAGGAACACAAGTCGATGTGTTACTCTCTGAATGTACATGTCCTCCCATTTTTCCGTTTCTATAGGGGGGCTGAAGGTCGTCTCTGTAGCTTTAGCTGTACCAATGCCACGGTTAGTTTTCCATCCGCCTTTATATGCTTCAGGTTTTTCTTCTGCTACAGTAAATGTACTGCATTTTTGTTAACGATGTTATATGCTGCCTTCTTTTTAGGTAGTAATGTTTTCTTCCATCTCATTGTTCTGATGCATTTAGAATTTTTTTTGGATGGTTATTGGATCAGCATCTGCATTTTCTGCATAATCTATCTTTGAGCAGACGAATCCATTCTTTTGCTGGTTCTGTTTTATGGTGGTTTACTTCTTTGCCAAGATGTGATTATGATGAGTTTGCTTTTCTCGACATTATAGGAATTAATGCATTTTATTGCTGTTTCCTTTTGTTAAAAATGGTAATCCTCTTTTGGAGTGGTATTCTAACACTAACCGCAATATTCTGGAGCAGATCAAGAAATTCAAAGATGCATTGGCAAAGTATGGTGCAGATTGTTGCAGCCTTGGACCAGCTAAAGGGCTCGAGGAGAAAGAGCTACTTGCACTAGCAGCTAACAAGGATCTCTCTTTTGCTTACACACCAAAACAAGAAGAACCAGTACTTGTTGCCTTACAAGAAGATATGACGAACAAAACGAGCAGAACATCTTTATCTCATCCAAATGCATTTCCCCCTTTACCACTTCCTCGTCCTCTTCCCCTCGCATCAACTTCACATAAAGTGATACAGGGCTCAAAGAGTGAAGCTTGTTAAGAAAATGGACGTTGGCCTAACTCAAACCCAAAAGTTAGCTGATGACTTGAAAATTTTTCAAGACCGTGTAAGGAGAAACCGCCCATTCCCTCAATCAAAATGAAACATTCTAGCAACCCGTGGCACGCCCACAACCGGACATGTGGAGCGTGGATTCTGTAGAATGGGGAGCAAATTTTGAGTAAGTTGGAAAAGAGATGGCTCTAGCTGTAATATTAAAAAGTGGCATCGGACCTAACTCAAATCCAAAAGAGTAGCTCTTGATGGGAAAATGCTCAGGAACATATAAGAGATAATAGTTCATTCCCCAACTAATGAGACATTCTAACAAAGCCTTGGCCACTTACTGTGGATGACATTAGTACATCTATTTTGTGTTTTCTTATGTATATAATGTTGTTGGAGAGAATATGAAAATGATATATGTACTATCAAAAATGTGACTTTCATACATATTTTCTATGGTATTTGGCCTCTATACGAGCCAAAGCAACAGGGACTGTGCCTTCCTTTTGCCTAGGATATGAAAATGATATATGTACTATCAAAGATATGATTTCTCTACATATTTTCTATGGTGTATGGACTTTATATGAGTCAGAGCAACAGGGAACATGTGCCCTCCTTTTCCCAGCATCGGGCTTAGGTTCAAAGAATCGAGAATTAATATGAAAATATAGATCACTTGATCATGTTTTAGCGATGGAAGTATTTATAAAATTGCACGTCTTACATCTGACTATTTAATGTAAACGCTTTTCCAGTCCAATGGAAGAACTCTTGGTTAAAAGAGCTAATTATTTTGCGCTCCTCCTTTTTTTTTGAGATAGTGTAATTAGTGCTATTTGATTGATGGATAGATATGTGGCAATGATTTGAATACGCAGTTTTAAGTAGCAATTGTGACAATACAATTAAATCTCCCACATATGCAAATAATAAGCAACGCCTTTCAAATTAACATACAATACCACCTTCATTGCAATACTTCACAGACTAAAGATGCACCAAATACTAGAGTATATGAACAGGCCATCTTGACATTGCTACATTCAAAGAAACAGATAATAAACTGCTCACAATCCACTTCCTGAAAAAAGATGGATTTTGTACTGGAAAATCAATAAAACAGTATTGATATAGAAGATTCACATAACCAACTCCAATTAGTTTGGAATTGAAGCATAGTCTGCATCATCGCCAACGGAAGGCCTCGTATCCACAGCTTTCAGCCATGATTAGCATCTGCTAAAGCTTCAAACTCAATTCCCCCTTCGGCGTTAGGGCAAAGGTCAGATGCAAAGCTACATGTCTTAAAAGCTTCGCCGAAAAAATACAACACGTTTATAAGTAAAATATTAGGTTTTAGAAGTATATAACATATACTATTGAACACCATTTTTTCACTTCTTTCAGGTTTGAACACCCTTTTCGGAAATTCCTGGATTTGCTACTGGCAAAGGTAAGAACAGAATTCTATTATCATGGCATCCAATAGCTACACTGTCCACAAACAGGTAAAGGATAATCCAAAGAACATCAAAGACATCAAAGCAGGACAACTTTAAGGCTGAATAAACCTAGTTACAAAGCCATTGTATCTTCCCACTTGTACTACTATTCAGTGATCACAGAGTTGATGAAAAGCAAAAAAAAATAGCTAGAGTTGTAAAGATAGCTATAAAATGACATAGTTGCACTACCCTGCAACACATAATAAGTTTCCAATATATGCAGCTGTCCTAAACTTAGATGCCCTAATGCTGTCCAATATATGTAGATGCATTAAGACGGATAAAGTATTGTCATTGATATACTAAGTCATGCTACATGTTGCCTTAGGCAATGCATCCATGTGAAGGCGATAAATTTAAGATACAAATTACCATAACATTGCATAGTTGGCATAAGGGTTGTACCAGAAGACAGGTAACGCGATGCAACATTATGTACTTATCACGTTGTTTAATACTGGCAAAGACATCAATCTATGCTTCCGAAACAGGAATACCCCATATATAAAATTAAGAGGTGTTCACAAGTAAGAAGCAACTCCATAACTAAATCATCTAGATTAAACAACAAATCCAATATGTTCCAACCAGGTGAGGTATGCGGAGGGTAGTCTGTACGCAGACTTACCCCTACCTAACAGGTTCCGATAGACACTCGGCTCATGAAGGGTAATAAGAAAAAGAGGAAAGCAAGAAAGTAAGAAAGAGCGAAGAGAAAAGAAAAAAGGAGAGATATAAGTACCAAATAATAGTAACAGAGAATACAGGACCACTTGACGTAATAAAAATCTAAGAATGGACATGCGTGCTACTAAATCATCTAAATTACAGAGAATAAATACAAGTCACTAGGAGATGGAGAAACATCTAAAGACTTGAATGGATTCAAGTTAATGCATCATCAAACTTAAGCAAAACTAACTTAATGCAGATCTGAATGCAAAAGGAAGGAGAAATTCTGATAGTTCAGCAGTATATGAATAATAGTATATCCTCTTCTACTATATCAGATTAACATAAAGCAGCTTAAAGAGCAAATACTTGAATGCAAAATCAAGAAAATACATGAACTAGTGCAAATAGCACATATAAATTAAAACTTTTTTGCGGGGTTTTGTTTAAATGTTAATACTCATAAAATAAATCAAGAAAATGCATTAACTAGAGCAAATAACACATAAAAATAGATTATTATTTTTGTGTGGGTGAAGTCCGCACAGCCTTCATCGCCGATTTAATGAAAGGCTCAGATAGCGGACAGTCTTCATCGCAGTAAAGCAGGGAAAAGGGGTCCCAAAAAATGGGTTGGACCGGCGAGAAAGAGATGTTATGAGCCGCCATAAACCCTAAAGGAAATAGGGCGGTAGCTCCATCCCTAACTCCACCGGTTCCCATTCTTCGTCGCCGTCTTCGCCGCCACCCACTGCTCAGATAAGATCAAGTAGTTTAAGGTTAACCTAAAACCCCATCTCTGTTATATAGCTGTCTGATGAAACCTAAATGGCCTCGTCTCTGTATGAATTTTCTAATATACCCCCAATTTTCAATATGACTCCTAGATTTGCTTTTTATTGCGAGAAATTAACAAAAATGGTCCCTTATGTTTTGGGTAGGTTTAAAATGGTTTGGCAGAATACTTAAACCCCCCCTAAACTTGGTACGGATTAGTAGTTACAGTCTTAAACTATTCGTGGTCTTAATTATCCCCTCAACTTGGCCTTTTGAGAGACATTACCCTCTTAGACACTGATGTGGCAAAGAGCACTCGCATGCCACGTGAATTTTTCTGTGTATGTGGCATTTTTTGAAAAATAAAATATATTTTACCTTTTTAAGTATATTACTTTTTTAGATGATTTTTTTCGAATACAATTTATAATAAAACTTGGATAGAAATTGTTTAGGCTAATTTTTTTTTATTTGGCTAAAAATAATAAAGTTTTAGTTAATCTTTTTTTGAATTTGACCTGAAAATAAAGATTTATACAATTGAAATAAATAGGCATCTAAAAAGTTATATAAAATACAAAGTTTGAAATTAGTTATTTTCGCTATAATTTTTTTATATAACTCTAAATTACGTTGCTCTAAAAATATAATTTTTTTTACAGATTTTACCTGAAAAATAAAAATACACAGTTGAAACAAAAATAGTCATTATACTACAATTGTACACTTTTTTATTTCTTCTTTTGATTCAATGACTATTTATTTTAAATGTGTATTTTTACTTTTTTAGGTAAAATCTGTAAAAGAAAATATTTTTAGAGCACCGTAATTTAGAGCTATATAAACAAATTATAGCCAAAATAATTAACTTCAATCTATGTGTTTTTTATAACTTTTTAGATGTCTTGACTATTTATTTCAATTGTATAAATCTTTATTTTCGGGTCAAATTCAGAAGAAGAAAAAAAGATTAACTAAAAATTTATTATTTTTAGCCAAATAAAAAAATTTAGCCTAAATAATGTAATTCCAAGTTTTACTATAAATTGTATTCGAAAAAAATTATTTTAAAAAGTAAAATTCTTAAAAGGTTAAAATATTTTTTATTTTTCAAAAAAAAAAGACACATATACAAAATAGTTTAAGGTTGTAATTAATAATTTGTGTCAGGTTTAGGGGAGGTTTTAAGGTATTTTATCAAATGGTTTTTAAATATGCCTTTGAATAAATTTGGTCCTTTAAATTTATCATAAGTAAGCACTTCTGATTTTACTTAAAGTCTTGTTTGGAAAGTCACATGTAATTGAAATTTGTGTAATTACTAGAATAGTAACTATACATTATTGTAATTACGACTACATGTTTGTTTGTCATAGTATTATTATAGTGTAATTATAAGTGAACTGTTTGGTTGCACAAGTATAATTACACAGTTAAATTAAATTTTAAATATAAAGTTAATTATTAAAAATATTAAATTTAATATTTAAGATATATATTGTTTCTTGAAAATATATTAATTACCAATCATATATTTGTAACTAACATTGTAAAAAATAATTGATATATATTATCAAATTAATAATATTTTACTTTAATTAATTATAAAAGCTAGAAGTACATATTTCGTAAGAACATCATGGACTGCATGCTTGATAAGATGATTAATATTTACAAATATAATATCATAACATTACTCAAATATTTTACAAAAAAATAATCTACCAATTCTAACTGAAAAATGAATGTCATGCAATCTGAATTATTAAGTGAATATTACTAGAGCAAATAAATTGGAAGCAAAAATATAACATTTATTCAAAATACAAAAGAAAAAAAATTAACATAGTACACTTGTGTAAAATTACAACATAACATAAAATAAGTTTCATCATCATTTAAATAAATATAATTCAAAAGAAAAGGAAAGCATAAGTCTATAACCTCATCCAACAATGAGATTCTACTTTAATGACATCACTCATTTTATGCTAAGTTTATTATTGATTTATTATTTCTAATATTAGAAGGAGCAGTTTCAAAACTAGAATCATAGCACAATTATGCTAAATAAATAAAATGAAAATATCACAAATATGAGCAACTATATGGAATCACAAAAATCAAAGGTTGGGAAATGAATATTATTTAAATATTAAAAAGTAATCTATCATTTTAATATAATTAAGTTTGCATACAAGCTCATTCTATAACAAAGTTCAACTTTAATGACATTATTCATTATAAGCAAAGTTTGTGGATGACTTATTCTTCATAAGATTACATGGTATAATTTTTTGAAAAAGTTAGAATTATACCATAGCTAAGTGTGGTAAAAAAAATTAAGAAAGAAATATGAGAAATTATGTAGAAACACGTGAAGTAAAGGTGGAGAATGAGAAATAAGGAAAATAATAATAATAATATTTGAAAAAAAGAGAGTTTTAAAATTTTTAAAAAAAGATTAGAAATAAAAAGTAAATTAAAAAAAAATTCAAAAATTAACTTGGTCATTACACCATGTAAGTAATTACCAACAATTCTCAGCTTCCTCTTGAGATTGGAGAGTATAATCACACTCCTCAATTACACTCAAGTATA